ATGTGAGTTTTTCTGAATATTTACAGTTCTCTTTTCTATTTGTTTAAGCTGTCTTGGGTTCGTTTGGTGGTTTTCTATGATGTTATCATCTTGCCTGTCCTGAAACTGTTGAATTTCTTGTTCGTCACTGTTTAAGACTTGTTTGCTTATTACTTTCATCTGCTTGTGTTGTTTAGAGTCTTTGACTGCTGGATATGTTATGTTTATGGACGGGAACTCTTCTATCTTGGTGGCTTCAGGCCATAATTCTGGTGATAACTTATGACGTTGCTTGTGCCTTGTGAAGTGGAAGTTACATGCCATTTTTACGATAAATTGTACATCTGTGCAATAATTCTGCCTTCTATTTCTGTGAACTAAGGCGGAATCCTTACACATGAGCATGCAACCTGTGTTCCTCATTTCCTGCCACCTTTGTAGTCCCCCAGTACTCTTAAGTAGTCAGGCTTCATAAGCCCCAGTCCTCTTACCCATCACGACACCTAACTTCTCAAGATTGGCAACGGTGGTAGTTTTTGGAATAGGTTTTGCAGCAGCGGTGAAAGATGCTTTAGGAGAAATGGGGATAACAGTATTGTACCCAAGAAGAAATAAGAACCCTTTGGGGAATGATTACTAGCCACTTCGAACTTATTGTTCCAAGAACTCCCAAAAAATTTGCCAGGCTCTTCCCAAATGCTCAGAATCCTTCAGTCCAGGAGCTTTGAACTTTTGGGCGGGTAAGAGCCGCCTCTTAATTTAGTTGGAATAGATAAAAGCTGTTGTATTTTAATCTGATGGGAAAAATTGGCAGCTTCTAACCTTCTACATGTGCTAGGGTGGGGAGGCTTGTTGATAATGAGGGACAGAAACAGATTGAGGGAGTGAGAAGTTAAGTGATGACCATTGAGGTGGGGGTGATGTTGGGGCTGTCTGATGCCAGATTCTCTGTAGCGAGTTGTAGGTGAAGAGAAAAGAGGCGATGCCAGAAATGTTAGTTGAAGGTTGAACTTACCCATGAAATTTGTCGTGTGTTTTCATGTAATGTTGCAGAGTGCTGGGCACTATAAAAACAAGAATGTCATATATAAAGATTTATGGTTCAATATTCTACTTGCTATTGTTTGATCAACTCTCCATCATCTTTTCTGTAATTACCATATCCATTATATTTGTTCTATCAGTATGCTCGTGTAGTTGTATGCTGCTGATGTTCACATATGGTGGTATTTTCTTTACTGTTACAGAACAAAGAAGAGTCGTTTAGAGTTAGCAGTAACATACAGGTTAATTGATCAAGTGTTAACCTTTTGTTGTAGCGATCTAGTTGAAGGTGTCCTAAATGTTAAGCCATTTGCTACTCTGCTATTACCAAATTGTCAACATCATGGGTTCTCGGTCACATTTTTGTACACATTGTCATAGTGATTGCATCTCTCTTTACTTTCTTCCAGTGTTACTGGGGTCAGAATTTACCGAGTTTATGCTAATACAAACACCTAAACTAGGTGTACATCATAAACTTGTAAGTTTGACTAGGAACTTACTTCTTTTGCAGTTTGTGATAGCCTCTCTTACTGGTTGGGGTTTGGTCTTCTATGGGGGTTATAAGCTCTTCTCAGGAGGAAAGAAAGAGAAGAAGGAAGAGGTACACTTCCTGTTATTAAATAAGTGTTTTGGAATATTTTGTAGCTATTAATATTTATGTAATACTTTGTTTGAAGCAAATAGGAAATTTAGTTTCTATCTTCTTATAGCGAGTCCAGTTAAATGGCTGTAGAATATGATAGGAATTTCAAATCTATTTTAAACTATTTTGCTAGCATCTAGCTGACTGAAATTTGGTCTAGTATTCACCACATAGTGTTTGTTTGGTACGAAGGAAAAGTATTTTCTTGGTAAATAAGTGGTCTTCTCACTTATTTTATCATGTTTGGTAAATAAGTAAAAAATATATTCCTGAGAGAATTTCTATATAATCTAAGCAAACACTAGAATGGAGTGTTTGGGCAGGGTGGTGGGGTGGAAGTATTGGTGGGTAGTGTGTATGTTGACTCCCAAAACAATTACATTAACCTTCATTTAACCATACAGGACATCCTTTGTTCCATTTTAGGATTTGAAACAGTGACAATAGGATTGAAATTGTCAAGTGACGGTGGGGGTTGGGAGAAGACAATCCGTGGAATACCATTTATCGAACTTGTTTTCCCTACTCTAATTGGGGAAGTCATTTAACCTTTAAAAGGGAGAACTTAAAGCTAATGTTCTCTAGTTACTTGAAATTTGGTCTCTCTCTCTATATATACATCCTCTGATTTACTTAAATCTCTTTGCAGAAATGATCACACGGACGTCGGGTTGTCTCTATTCACCGGCAATAAAGTAGTGTAAGTTGCTAGGTCTTAGTGGCCTAGTTCAAGCCAACATGAGGATGTAATTTGTCGTCCCCTATCCATTCCCATTCTAGCTTTGAACTTTTGAGTTGTACATGAAATGTTGATTGAACAATCAACTTTGAGTGCTTTTTTCTGAATTGTTAATCCATTTAATAACTATCACCATGAGTATGTTGAGGAGATGCAAAACACATGATTAATCGCTCTATACATTGAATATCTTATTTGTGAGTTCAATATGCCCTAGTGAGTCAAATGCATCCAGAGGTGTGCGACATCGACAACAACATAACTAGTGTAATCCTGTAAGTAGGATATGGGTTGTGTGGTGTGTATGTCGCCTTACCCTGTATTTTGTGAAGGTGTGACACTATGTTACATTGTTCAAATTGAACAATATGCCAGGTCGAGATGTTTTTTTTATGCATCCTCGTGAGTCTATCAATAAAAATGTTTATGATGTGCATAATATATATGTATATATCGTATAATATATGTTTGGCTGGTGTATTTTACGTTGAAACGAGAAAAAAAGAGAGTACATTTTGGCTATTAAATGTCAATTGATTGAAAGGTCATTTGTGTACTGTGAGTACATTCGAAACATAATTACTATACGTGGAGTTATAATCTCGTGAAGTATTTGAGTCTTTGGCATTAAAGTAGAGCACATTCAAGAGAAACAGATGAGCTGAACCTCTCTATTTCTCCAATATTGGTTGTGACTTGTGAGGGCACAATTTACCAATTTTCTTTCAAACAAATTACTTCTTCTGTTTAACAATGGTTGTTCATTATTGGCTTGGTATACATCCTAAAAGATAATAGATAACAGGGGCAATATTATTTTTTGAATTTATTCAATTTATTGCTTTGAAAAATGTATTAGATATTTAATAGGAAGTGGAGAACAGACACAAAAGGATAAATTATCTTTTGGTTTTTCAAATCGAATAAGTATTGTTTAGTATAGTGAACAAATAATGATGGCGGAGGGAGTGTACAAACTCTCTTTCAATCCTTCTATGATATTTATGTACCTTAAAACTTATGAGAGACTGGATCTAAATGGTGGTGAAAGAGAATTTAATGATTCAAACTCATCATTCAAACCCTCAAGTGTATTGAAACTTTAATTAAGCTTTCTATCCAAATTCAATTTTGCAACATACATCGACTTTTAAATCTTTTGTTCAGACCCCCTAACTAATTCATGACTTCACAATGTGAATTTATTAATATTTGACTTATACGCAAACTTTAGAATTATTCAAATTCATAAATATAGAATAAAATTCTAAATAGAAAATTTGATCAATCAATCATATCAATGTTACATTTATTTCGACATAGAAATAAACTGTTTGAAAGATAGAGATGGTTGTGTAAACTTCATCTCTCTTTGGATCTCAAGGAGTTTTTCTGAAGTTGAAATGCGTTTATATTTTTGTCAAAATAGAATCACGTGTGTAGTTGATGTATAAATCAAACAATATATTTTCTTTTAAACTTTCCTTAAAAAAATAAATCTTTTTACAAGTGAGCACACATACATAGACAAACTTGTATATGTGTTTAGTTTTTTTCTAATCTTGTTTACTTTTTAATGGCGTAAAATTTATTTAAGATTGTAACTAGAAACCTATTTAATTTCTCATTTTTTTTCTTTAGTATTTGCATCGGAGCCGATTCGTGCTATAGAGCTTATTTTAATTCCTAGAACTTTGATCTCTAATTAAAAGTGGAGAGATCCAAACGGATCTATTTTGGTTATTTTTCCAAACTAGTGATTAAACTCACTTTAATTGTGGCAAAAAAAAATTACACCATTAGCTGATTTCTTTTTTATGTCGATAGTCTTCCATTTGTAACATGTCTAAACATTATAAAGTAGATATCAAAAACCAGCGCCTCACGTCCTCTCGAGTGCCATAATTGCACAGCATACAATTGTATTTTCACACCTGAACTCCACTTGTATCCCACTCTACCAGTCACTCACTGAGTTCACAACAACTTGTTTTTTCAGATTACAGCTGGATATGTTGGGGAAGGAAGACATGGATGTCTGTCTTACAGGATTAAGGGTTGGATGAGAAGAAGAGAAAATGAAGTTTGGATCACTAAAACATACTCAACCATCAAGATACATTCAAAGTAAAACAATAGCAAGGATGAGTGAGTATGTAAGACTGAAATTCAATAGAGAGTTGGCGTAATCCAAGTTGGAGGACAAAAACGACTGAGGGAAACACCATTGTAATGCGGCTGAATGCTGCCATCTGCTAGGTTGAACACCCCCATGTCCAGCCCTCCTCCTTCTTCATAGGCTAGGTATGTTAAAAGATAATCGTCTGTGAAATAATTAAATATAATAATAATATAACAATATGAAAATAATAATAATAATTATTATAATAATAAATAATAACAATATATAAAATATTATTATAAAATAAATAATAATAATAATAATAAATAATAAAATAAATAATAATTATATATAAAAAATATTATTAATTCATAATAATATAATATATGATAATAATAACAATAAAGAATAATAAAATAAATAATATATATGACACGTGTGATATTTGTTGGTGTGTATCTCAAAAAAAAGTGGTGCATAATGTATTAAGCCGTAAATGAAAGAAGATACAAAAGGCACTTTTTCCGGTAGAGTAGCGTATCTGAGAGATTCTCTTTCACTATCGGTAAACTAAAATATGAATGTGAAATCTGCCGGTGGAGTCGTTTCTGTGTTGTGAAATTGTTGGATTTTGATTCAAATTTGTTGTATTGAGAGATAATGGAGAAGGAGAAGTACTCGGAGGAATTGAATGTGGCTGTGAGGGTTGTTCATATGGCGTGTAGTCTCTGTCAAAAGGTGCAAAAGGGTTTGCTTGGTAAAGCATTTGGTGATGATGATGAGGTTAAGTCTAAGGATGATGATTCTCTTGTTACTATTGCAGGTAGCTTTTTGATTTTTTTTGCAATTTTGTTTTATAATGGGGAATTGTATGGGTGGGTTTTCGATTAGTAGATACTTTGTGAGTATGGGTAGGTAATCACATTGAGATGGAGGATATGTGTTGTAGCGGAATCATGATTTTCACTAAAAGGGATTGGCTGTTTGTTTCACTAGGAATTTAGAGCTGATTTAAGGTGTTGAAAGTACTCTGGATTATAAGAATTTGTTACTTGCTTTCTCATACACATGGGAGCTAAAAGTAGGACGAAGTTGTAGTGGAAAAGGGGGTTAATAGTATGATATATGTTCTCGAATTGAATTGAAACGCGAGTGTTCAATAAGGGCATGATGCATCATTGGCCTTGCAACATTACTATCCGATAACACTAGGCCAGACAGCTGATTCAGCTTGAACCCCGTAACCACAACCATACGAGTTAAGAAGTTACTATGTTTGATAAATTCTTTCACTGCAGTGACTTTGACAGTAGTGGTGTATGTAGGAGTTTGTGCAAGCAATGTTGGCCTATTGTCCACAATTCAACTTGTATGTGGTTTTGACTGTTTACTGTAGTATTTTTAAGATTTTACTTCCGGTCTCAAATTGATTTTTACCATTAAGTAGTGTTGGCCTATTGCGTATATACATTTCTGTATTCTTAGAAAGATATAATTTACACACACATATACAAGAATTGTTTCTTATAACGCGGAGTGTATGAACACATTTTATTAAAGTATGTTCTTCCCTGTCTGTCAGCGTAACTGCTTTCTCTTCCCCTTTGAGTAGGAAGCAAGTAACGTTGGCCGAACACTATCCGCAACAGAATCAGTTGACTTGCAATGTGAGTCGCTGAATGAGTCACACACTATGCCACTTCATTAAATCTTTCCCTGTCTTTAGAAATATAATATTTAGGATGGTTAGATAGTGGGTTGAACCTGGTACCGATTGCTACTTGCATAAATAAAGCATCTTCTACAGAAATGGATATAACACAGTTGCCATACAACCAACTAATCAACATCAATTTACATATCTTTCAATTATCCTTTATCACTCAGTCATCTATTTACGTTATTTCAAACATTCCTGTACAACTTTCTTAGCTTCACCTTAGCCAAATATTAGTCTAAGTCCAGTTTTCAAAGACAGGATTTTGCTCGTTAATTGTTAGTCAAGATGCCTTATCGAGTCCAGAAGAGAAGTAGAATCCTCTTCCCTACATCATTTAATCGTTGGAATACAAATTTAGAATTGTGCGGAAGTGAAGGTCTAAACTACTACTTCTTAGTATCATTCTTTCAGCGACAAGCCGACAACAAGAAAATAAGAAGTAGCAAAAGAGTGGAATAAGCATTTATTTTGGTATAAAATTCTATGTAGAGAATGCTCTCATTACTCTTGAGATATTATAAATTTTACATTGCTTGTACAATTGAAACAAATACCCTCTTATACTAGCTTACATTGTGCAACTACAAGGGCTACAAATGATGTTCCTTTTCCGATGGAAGTTTGATGTATCTTTATCTGGCAGTGGTGCTCCTGAACTGTTAAAGGAGAAGCTTCCTTTTCAGAGGCAAATACATGCTTTTAAGTAGTTGGAAAGTGGAAATTGACCTTAAAATCACTGAAGTTCATTTCCTTAGATGACATAAAATATGGCCTATCTATCTTTATTGTTCACTAATCATCTGCATAGAAATGGGGTTCACATGACAATTGAAAATTCTTGGATGGTAGATAAATGATGATGTTTCTACTTTGACATATTTCATAATTCTTAAATCATGGGAACTGTTGGTTAGTCTCATCATGCTTGGTTTTAGAAGCCTAATAGAAAAAGCAAGTCCAGATTCTTCTTCTAATATGAAGGTGTTTGGATTAACTTGTGCAGACTTCAACAATTACGCTAGGTACTTGCTATCTCCCAGCACATATATCGAGTAACTCTAACCACAAGACTTAGTAGATAAAATGAAATCACCTACATTTTTTTGCCCTTACTGGGATTTGGACCCTGATCTCCCTTGATTTTATCCTTCCTCATTGATCTTCACGTCACATCCTTGGAATTCTTACAAGACACAAAAACTTCTCTCCGTTGTCTTCTGCTCTTAATACTTTATATTTGATCATTATGCTTAACAAGCACTTTAAGTTCACTGGGGTTGCGAGTAGTAGTGATTCTTATGTTAAGAAGCAGTAGCAGTAACTCTAAGGATCACTTTGATACTTACATCTAGTTCGAAGCTTTTTAATCTTTATACTCATAAAAACTTAAATAAGGAACATAAATTATCAATAGAGACACTCTATTGTCACATAATCTGACCCTCTTATTTCTTTTCTCATTTCCACGAGGTATTCACCATATGGTTAGCTTCAAAGCCAAAGGTCAAGCAGTAGATTAGTTTCAGTTATGAGTCTCAAGTTCTGTCTTAGTTGATACAGCTGCTTTTAGTTCACTAATATGCAAGAGAACACCCATAAAAATGACTTCGCTTGCTTGACATATGAATGATTTTCCATGTAGCCAGCCACTCATGTTGTGTCTTCAGTTTGACTACTGAAGGGATCACAGGATTATGCAAAATGTCAGGAAATAAGCTGCATTCTTGAATCTCTTCACCTTGTTTAGTTAACAGGATTAGTGATACTTTCGCTGCTAAATTTTGTATTTAGAATCAATATTCCATTCTTCAACATATTAACATTTGAATAATTGTTGAGAAGGAGTTGGCTGTGGTGGAGTAGTTATGCTGATTTAGATTCTTATGGACGTACTGTTTGATGGATATTAAATCCTAATTATTCAACAAGTATTTTCATTGTATACATGGATTGCAAATGCGGCAGTAACCTAAAGTTGATTTTGTCAATTTGTTAATGTTCAACGGGCGGAATTTTGAGATATTAGTAATTTCTTTTCATTTCCCATTGCTGGATAAAAGTTCAGATGCTTGAGGTTTTATTTTGGCTGCTTAGTGATATATCTCTTTTTTTACTTTATAGGAGTGAAACAGCATATTCTGATTATTTGTTCAGACTGTTTAAAATTGTTTTTGGATTCTGATAGCGTTCAATGGAAAAACCTGCATTTAAACGGACTCGATTTTGCTTGTAGGGAAGGAGGAAAGCATTATGCTCCCTCCATAATTGTCCACTAAACTATCTTGGGATGTCCAACAATAGTTGTCCACTTTATAAAATCAATGAATAATTTTTACACTTAGTTCCTAATTCACCCTTATCATTAATCATAGTCATTCCTTATTACATTTTTCAAGACATTGTATTTATTATTTTTAAAGGGTGATTCTTAAGAAGTGTACAAAGTCAAAAGTGGACAACTATTGTTGGACAAAGGGAGTATTATTATTTAAGAATAAATGTTTTCAGCACTTAGAAATTTGGTGTATGGCTGATTTTTCTGGATGTTGATATAATGCCGGATTTTTTTGGTGTTCTTAGTACAATAGGATCCCTGACTAGCTTTTCTGCTTCTTGTATCTGCGGTGTACTATCTTAGTGCTGTGCTTCATAATAAAATTACCTTACTTATCAAAAAAAAGGGGGCTGGTTTTTAATGTTTGTTTTTATTCCTTCAATTATTCAGGGTGGAAGAAGTTCTTACTAGTTCCAAGTTTGCATCTTTTAAAGTTATTGTATAGATTGTCTACAATGCACACTAAGTATTTCCTGCAATTTCTTTGCATGGATAGATTGGAGTGTGCAAGCAACTGTAAGCTGGATCCTTTCAAATACTTTTGGTAGCGAATTTGTCTCCATAGTAGCTGAAGAGGACGTTCAAACTCTTTCCAAGCCTGAATCAGCAGGTCTATTGGGTAAAGTTGTCAGCACTGTCAATGAATGCTTAGCACAAGCTTCTAGATATGGTCTGAAAGGTCCAGATAAAATCCTGGGGCCTTCAGAAATTCTGGAGGCTATTAGTCGCTGCAATTCAAAAGGAGGCCCTCTTGGCAGGCATTGGGTTCTTGACCCGGTTGATGGTACACTGGGGTTTGTGCGTGGAGGTCAATATGCTGTAGCTTTAGCGTTGATTGATAATGCGGAGGTTGTAGTTGGAGTGCTAGGATGCCCTAATTATCATATGAAAAGGGACAGGCATAATAAGCAACAACAAAATCATATTTCATCAGAAGTTCCAGTGCCCTCACCTGATATGTTGGAAGAAGGATGTGTGATGTACTCAAAAAAAGGTACTGGTGAAGCTTGGGTGCAGCCAACGGTTTATGGTGATGGTAAATATGAATGGCCAAATTTTGCCAAACAAGTTCGTGTTTCTCCAATTGATGATCCAGCATTGGCAACTTTTTGTGAGCCAGTTGAGAGAGCTAATTCAAATCACTCCTTTGCAGCTGGACTTGCTTCCTCTGTTGGGCTTAGGTTTGTTGATAAACTATCTCTACTAATTTGCTGCCAGTCACAGCCAGCCTCCAGAAATTCATTTTTGTTATAAAAGGCTTAAACAGCCAAAGCCAGCAAAGACCGTCATTGCATAGATAACTGCTCCTCTAACTAGGTGCATTAGCTGCACCAATGTTCTTCCTTCTTGATTTTTCTAGCGTTGTTTTTTTCAATCAACGCAATACACTTGCTTTAGGAAAAAATTGTTGATATCATACTTAACGGGGGGAAAATAAGAAGAAAAAGAAACATGTTGATATGTTATTTGACCTTTGAGAATTATTTTTAAATGTTTTGACTCCAACATTTTGCCACTGTTGGTTATCTATTTATCCTGCTATATTCTTCTTCAGACAATTGGATCTTTCTACTATTCTCTTGTACTTCATGTTGGTGTGTAGCAACTGTAACATGCGTGCTTTCTCAGGGTGATAAGTTGTGTTCTCTAACATATTAATCTCCCTTGGCAGAAACAAGCCCCTCCGTGTTTATAGCATGGTAAAATATGCTGCCATAGCACAGGGAGATGCTGAAATTTTCATGAAATTTGCTAGAGCTGGGTACAAAGAGAAGATTTGGGACCATGCAGCTGGTGTTCTCATTGTACAAGAGGCTGGCGGTGTGGTGACTGATGCAGGAGGGCGTTCACTTGATTTTTCTAAAGGGATATACTTGGAAAGTCTTGATAGGGGAATAGTTGCTTGCTCTGGCACTAAACTGCATGAGAAATTAATTGGAGCTGTTTATGCCAGCTGGGAGTCCTCTAGTCTATGAATATTTCTTATCTTCTACAAGGACAGTGACGGGTTTTTGTCTTATTACGTACTCCCAGGTAAAGTCCTTTGCTATAATTGTGCGTCTCACTCATTGCTTTTGTTTTGCACATTACCACAACTACGCCTCAACCCCAACCAAGTAGTAGTTAGCCATATGAATCCTCATTGTTATGTCGCTACAATTTTAGTCCATAATTGACTAGTTTTACGTAGGATGTCAACCTACTGCAACCTTCCTCTATACAGGCTTGTGATCTGCAACATGAGCAAAAGCTCACACATGCAAATTTCTTCTCTACATCAAATTTCATTTAACCATTCTCATATTTCCAGTGCCCAACTCTTGCTTGCATTAATCTAATCTTATCTTCATATATAATCATAATGTAGCTTCCTGCAAGTAGATTTGTGTTTGCTCACTCGTCTGGTAGTCTCATAACAAAGTCAATACCCGCCCCCTACAAAATTGTTTTTGAAAAGGTCGTTTATTAATAGGAAACTTTGTTGCGATTGCAGGTGGTAAACATGACTTCTACTCTCATCAAATTCTAAATAGGTAATCTTCAAGTGAATAACTTTGACAAATGGAGTACACTACAACATTGCAATTGGTTCATGAGCTACACGTTTGCTCTGGGAAGACATAAAATGGCGGACTGGTTTTCCCAACAGACGGGCATTTCTGAGGCCAATGTCGCGTAGAAATGCTAGCTAATTGGTTTCGCGGAGCACAAAACTCTGATTCTACTACTGCAGAGAAGAGTTTGCTAGTTGTTCTTAGACAGTTGGAAGGGGAAAAAAATCTCATTGCTTCAACAACCAAGTTTTAAAAGTACATATACTTTCCACTCTTCTATCCATCCCCCTTCATTTAAGATTCAGTAATTTTAGTTTTCAATTTTTGAAAATACTATACTATCATCACGCCAAATTAATTTGATACTTTAAAGCTCATTTACGGTATTTTGCCTTATTGAAAATCAATCATCATAGTTTTGCATATATAAAAGAAATAATAGAGAGTTACAACTTTCGAACTTCTCATGTAGAAATACATGTATACAAGAACAAGTTCAATTTTCTATAATTATTTTGTACCATACATGAACTATAAATGATACTTATAATATATTAATTAGACAGATTATAAATTGGGTAAAAATTAAAATTTTAATATTGAAATGGAGGGTCCGGCCAGGGAGCCAACCCTATAGAGATCCACAAATTATGTCGGCCATATGTCTTGATAGCCATACAGCACTCACCACGCAGGCGAGAGTGGCATATTTAGCCAACCGACCCTTTTTAAGCCTTCAATTAATTACAACTTTTGATTTTATAGCATATGATTCCCTTCACACTTTGCTCATTTGTCGATGTGGGAGTGTATAGTTACAATATTTTTCTTATTCTTTTCTTGTTTTTGTTTAATTCTCCCTCCGTTTAAAAAAAAATTGATATTCATTCCTTTTTAGTTTGTTTAAAAAAAATTGATATTTTTTTTTTGTTAACATTTTAATTTCATCTTTCCACGTAGCATGTTTAATATCACAAAATCAAATAATAATTTTATACGTTTGACCTAACTTTAATTTAGGACGACAAGATTCAAAAGTATTCTTAAATTTCGTAACAAGTGAAACCAGACTATTCTTCGTGAAACGGAGGGAATATTTATATTATAGTTGGATATCGAAAAATTCTAGGTAACATGTCTTTTTTTTAAAATAAATTAAAGTTTAATCTAATTTTTTTAGTTTAGAATGTGATATAGATATAAATGAGGTGTATTTGTAGAGTTATTTATTTGCAAATATAGAGAGAGTAATATCATTAATGGTAAACCTACCCTACTTCTCTAGTCCTACTTGTCACTCATTCTTTATTTTCTAGAGTCATCACAATAAGACTTAAAAATAAGAAATGTATTGATCTTTTATTAATGATAAATACTTTTTTTATTATTAATTTGAGATTTTAAATTCAAGTCTTATAGAATATGAAATTGCCTTTAATAGAAAACGTGTTACTTTTAATTTGAATTTAGATTTAGTCAAACTATATTACCACATTCACAAATACTAGGTGGATTTTTTTAATAAAAATAGAGTTGGCTATAAGCACCTATAAGAATAGATATGTAGCTTATACACTATTAAATCTTGACCTAATTAATTAAAACCTTCTGTATGATCTTAATATATTATAAAAGCCAAGATACCAACAAAAAATATCTTACATTCTAAAATAAATATTTTGAAAATAACCTCTTAATTTCCTTTTCATTCCTCCATTTTATTTTATTTTTGCTTTAGAAGATGCCATCAACTGAGGTGCATGTATTGGAGGGTCAATGGTCAAGTGGTCTTTGTGATTGCTTCAATGATCCTATCAACTGTATAATTAAATTTTGCATTTTTTGTGTGTTTCATTATTATTACAAACTCCAATTTCTGAAATAATTCTTAATTTTTTTTGAAGGTGTGGCTACTTGTTTTTTTCCTTGCATAACCATGGGGGAGAATGCTGAGATTATATCAAAAGGAGAAACATGTAAGTTTAGTCTTCCTTTCTTTTTCGATCCTACTCGTGGGATTAAACTGTTGTTGAAATCTTAACATAAATCTTAGGTGGTAAGTACTCCTTTTCATTTATAATTATCGTCTTAGATTTAAGCTCATAGAATAAGTCATCTTTGCTAAAACAACACTTTACCTTTTGAACTGAGATTTTCAAACGTAAACTCTAGAATATCGAAATATTATATATGAAATTTGAAAGTACCTTCTTTTTTCTTTTTCTTTTTTTGCAGCTTGTGTAGCAGCAACAACAATTTACTTCTTACTGTGCTCAATAGGGTGCCAAGGTGGTTATGGATTTCATTACAGATCCAAATTGAGAAAATTGTTAGGTTTGCCAAAGGAAACATGTAAAGATAACATAGTACATGGCTGCTGTTGTTTTTGTGCAATTTGTCAAGAGCATAGAGAACTTAAACTCCATGGAGCTGATCCCACCATTGGTAGTTACTTTAACTTTCATCTAGTCGAGATCGGAGTTTAAGTTATATGCACTGACACTGTTATATTGCTTAAAAACTATTGATGTATTTTTGTTGAATTTTATAAATATTTATTACTTTTGAAAGATTTGACACACATCTAATAATATTATTTGTGAAGAGTTTAAGCAATATAAGTAATAATTAGACTTTCATTGAAGTGAAGATCAAAATTTTCAGAAATGTTTGTCATAGGCCTTTTCAAAGTTTTCTAATTTTAGAGGATCTAATTACACATCTGACAATATTTTTCAAAAGCATTGTTTGATTATATATTGCACTAATTTTTTTATTCGCTTTTTACGATGTATTTTTCTAAGTGAAAAATATTTTCTGGCTCATAAAACTCGTAACTTTTTCTCAAGTGAAATATTTGTTCAAATACCTTTCTTTTGATTTCAAATTTAAAAATTGCTGCTTCTTTTTTGAATTTCAATCAAACTTGTGTGAAATGCCTACTAACTTGTTTGGTGATGGTTACGACTATAGGTTGGAAAGCAAATGTAGAGAATTGGAGAAGTCAAGCGGTAACTGTTCCTCCATTCTTTGAACCACAAATGATGCGCTAGGCTTTTGATTAGATGGTGGACATAATATGACGGAGTTGATTCAGGCTTAACTTACGTTACAGTTCCGCATAAAAGTTTGTTTATTTTTTTGATAAAGGATCTCCATTTTGAATTTTTAACTATGTAGCTTCGATAATTGTGGCTCTTAAATGTTTAGAATATGTCTGAAAATTGATAAGGCTTCACGTACTGCTTTCCCGATTTCCAAAGGAAGGTTCCATAAAGGTTTTGAAAAAAAAAAATCAATCGAAAGTCATATGATCAAAATATTCAGATTAATACAAATGAGAAAATCGTTTAATTCTTGTGAATTGGCCCCTAAATTTAAAAAATGGACTTTAAAAATTGTGAGACTATGTGTACTACTCACTCAACTCCCTACGTAAATGTTTCACAAAGAATTGTATGAAAGTCATATCACCAAGAATAAGACTAGTTCACACGAAAATTTGAGAAAATCGTCTAATTCTTATAAATTGACATCTAAATGCCTAAATGAATTCTAAATTTTTTAAGACTATACTTACTGCTTCTCCAACTTCTTATAAAGAGTTTCGTGTAAAGAAATTATCTAAAAGTCAAATCATTAAAATATTAATGGGCTAACACACACGAAAATCTGAGAAAAATTCACCTAATCCTTATAATCTGGGCCTTTAAATGCCCAAAACTGATTCTAAAAAATTGTGAGAAGGTACATATTGCCCCACTCAACTCCCAACGAAGGGTTCTATAAGAGTTTCACAAAGAAAACGTTTAAAATCTTATCATCAAAATATTCATAAGCGAACCCATACGGAAAAAAAAAAGGAAAACTTGTTTAATTCCCGAAAATTGGTCCTAAATGCTCAAAATAAACTTTATCACATATTGTCCAGGATGTTCTTATAAAATGTGTTTCTTTTTAATTAATCTTTTATAATTGATCATATTAAATATAGGGAAAATTTCATATATGGCAAACTTATTAGATTAAATAACATTATATGAGTATAGTTTACCTAATTACTTTATATGGGTATAGTTTAGTTATTTTAGGTATCTTTAATTTTGTATATAATTTTTTTTATTTATACAATTATATTTTAAAAAGTGGTTTGTAACTGAAGCGTTAAATATGCTAACAATAAATTTAGATAATGCCACAATTTTAGGGAAACGTCCATTTTTTAAGCTAAACGTTCAAATTCAAAAAAAAAAATATTCTGTATATATATATGAACTTACCTTTTTTGTATATTTATATATGTACATGAATATATTAGTTAAACTCCAATAATATATAAAGTTAATACATACTAACTTCAATAATTTGTATATAACTACTACAATATACAAATTATAATCGCATATGATATTTTCCCATCTATATAACTAAATCCAATTACTTTGTGTACATATGTATATAAAAAAAGAGAGCATTTAATATACAATTCCCTACTACCAGCTATTAAAACAAACATGTACATATCAATTTTTGTATATGTATATAAACTTAATATATACTAACTTCAATAATTTGTATATAACTAATAGAATATACAAATTCAAATCATATATAAAAAAAATCATCTGTATAACTAAGTCCAATTACTTTTTTGTATATATATACAAAAAACAAAAATAACATAAATATGCAATATACTATATATAATTACTAAACATGCAATTATACTATATACAATACTTAAGTAATATTTTTTGTATATTGACATCTAATTAACCAAAAAATTGTATCTAACTTTGTGTTTTAATACAGTACCTCATGAATATTATGTTCTTCAGATCCGACAACTTCAGAAGCATTTTCCTGTGACTCAATGTTTACAGTTTTCCTCTTTCTTCTTCCTTATACTATTTTAATGCCTCTAACTTTGGCATTGTTAATAATTTGTTGAACTGCCGTAGGGTCATTTTTTTTCTTTGATCTAAGCTCTTCCATTGTTTGTTCTTGTATAACTTGATTTGATTTTCCCAATGACCCTACATCAAATCCAAAATCTTGAGTTAACCCCATTAAAAATGATGGTAAAATGTCAACAACATTGACATGCAAAGGAATACCTCTGGTAATCCTCAAAGATGAAGATGATTCATTCATTGTGTGACCAATTTTAGATCTATCAAGAACAAAAAATCGATTATTTCATCAAAATATATGAAAAAAATAATAAACAAAACACAGACAGATTTTGAATAAGTAAAAAAAGAAGAAGAGGTAAACAACTAAAATTAAGGAGTACTTACGAAATTGACTTCAACTTCGGGAGGGAGTAATCTAATTTTGGACAACAATTTGAATTTCAAACCGGATAGCTGGAGTATTAAATGTAGGAGAAAAATTTGGAATGTGAAAAGGAGAGAGAAAATTGTTTTGTGTATAATTATATACAAAATTAGAAAATAATATTTTTATACCATTGGTTATATAATAGGTTGTGGACCCCATTAAATATAGCAAACAAAAATAAACTATAACTATATAAGGTAAATAAATTAAACTATACCCCTATGATATAATTAGCTATGAATGTTTGTCATCCCATGTAATTTTCCTTAAATATATAATTTATAATAACTTTATGATATTATATTTACAATAGACGTTTTTAATTTTTTTTTGGTCAAACATGCCATCTATGTCGTTCTTACAAAATATATACTTTTACCTTTTATAATTAATTATAAATCAAATATCAATTTGACTACGTAATTATATTTGTGCAACCAGACACTATTATAAGGATAAAATATGAAATTTTAAAATAAGGAGAGGAGAGAGAAAGAGAGAGAGATAGGCTAGAAAGATAAAAAGAGGATAGAGATAGAACCTTACAACTCTGTTTCAATGGCTTCCCCTTTATCCTCTTCCATTTTCTCTCCAAATTTCACTCATTTGTACCAAAATAAAGCTTTCTTCCATAGCCATCTTCCACTTCGTTCCCCAATTTATGCTACACTCAATCGCATTGCCTTGAAGAAGAATGCTTCCATGGTTAGTTTAGTTCTGCTCAAAATTTAGATATTTTCATGTGTGAATTCTGTTAAAAATTTCATCATTCTTTTTGTGCGATGGCTTAATACATAAACAGACACTCGAACAAGCGGGCACTCCATCTTACAAAATGATCATCCAAATTTATTCAAAATTTATGTGTCACGTCAGCATTAGGTGTCCACGAGATAGGGCGGGGACAAATTGGAGTGTTTAGTTGTTAGCTGAGATCAAGTTGAAGTGTTTAGATGCATTGTGCCTTGTGTCATTCATTGTAGAATTATGAATAGTTCGATTGTATGATTCTACTCTATTTGTTTTCATTTATGTGATACGATTTTCTTTTTAGTCTGTTTCAAAAAGAATATCTTTTTTTTTCATATTGAGGAACAATTTACCAATTAATGACATGATTTGTAGCTACACAAATGTGTAAGATTTGTTTTAGATTGTAAGTTTCAATTGTCTTTATTCTAACTTAAACGCGGTATATCTAGTCAAACAGAACTGTTTTCTGATATTTAGTTTGGGCAAAGAATGCTGGTTCACCTCTAAAGTTTGATCTTTTACAAAATTTAAAGGACTGTTGGATCATCAAATGTAAGTCTTGCGATCATTTAGCGTGGGAGGAATCTGATTAGGAGGTAGAAAATGTGGAACTTTCGTGTTGGGACAAATATTAGGAATTGGTATTCCTGTTAAAGATTTGTACCATTTCATATCTTCTCAAGTGTATGAAAATGTTCATCATTGTGAAGGTTCTAGATAAGGCACGTAGTTTTCAAAGGTAAATACAACAACAACTACAAACACAGTGTAATTCTACGAGTTTGGGGAGGGTAACATGTATGCAGACGTACTCCTATATTTATGGGGTAGAGAGGTTGTTTCTGACCCTCGCAAACCCTCCTCCTTTATCTGTCTTGGGACCAGCAATGTGAACGAGTTCACACAGGCGGAGTTTGTCTTCAAAGGTAAATGTATCCATGAAATTAGTTAATGATGGAAATGCAAACTGTAACATAAGCTACCACTTTTCTGATTTTCCTTGTGACACTAGCATAATGCATTTGAAACCATATTTTGGGCTCTTTTTTTTTTCGTCGATTACATATTTGCACTTGCATAAACATCTTATTAGAGAACTCGTATTCACGATTCAGTGTTGCTTCGAAGATGATCAAAATACAATATTTATAACCCTCTCAGCTTCTTGATGGATTTTCAGTCATGCAGGAATTGACAAAGAGGCTGACTGCTCCTTCCATTTTGTCAACATATTTGGAGAGTACAGTCAAGCAATTTCAGAGTTTAATGGCGGTGATCATTATATTTACTGAAATTGCATCTCCAATACCTTTGTATGGTTTGCAAGATTTGTCCATTTCTCCTGCCGAGGCAGTGCTTTATTCCCCTGAAACAAAAACTCTCCCTAGAACAGGAGAATTAGCTCTTAGAAGAGCTATCCCAGCCAACACAAATATGAAAACTATACAGGTAGTTTTATTTTGTTCTGCCTATATATTTTATATACTATTTTCCTATTTGGTAGTGTAGATAGTAAGTCATGAAGTATCGCTGTTCCCTGTCTATTTTCTCGCAGGATTCGCTTGAGGACATATCGTACTTGCTCAGGATTCCACAGCGAAAACCTTTTGGAACAATGGAGGGTAATGTGAAGAAAGCTCTTAAGGTATTACATAATATTTCCGTTGCAACCGAATTAGACACTTAAGGTTTGATCGTCTATCAAGGTAATCATTCTTTGACATGAATCGCAGCCATCCACAGGCGTGTTGGATATCAGGCCATTTCCATACAGTAAAAGGAACAAAATAGTTGTTCATTTATGTGTTTTTTTTTCAGAAAGATACCTTGTGATACAAGGAAGATATCTTTCCTTTCTCGTTTTTCTTTTAAACTATCCATCAAAAACAGTTATAGAATAGAGAATTCAAAGTCTCTAAGATGTTGACGTTGCATGCCTACTGACTGTAACAGATCGTTTCGTTCTGCAAATAATGAAAACACTTATAATGAAAGGATGTGTAGTCATCAGACACTCTTATTCTGTGTCTTTAAGTACATAAATCTAATGCTTCAATATCTCTTCAGATTGCAACAGATGAAAAGGCATCCATCTTGGCTAGCATTCCAGCTGAACTGAAAGAAGAGGGTTCAGTCTTGTAC